GATATGCATTGACACCCTTACAGAACTCTGAAACCATATGAAATTATATTTTTAACATTTGACTTGTCAACAACTCATTTAAATTATGAAATTATTAACATTCTAACTAAATTTAATGGATCAAACTAACTTCTTCATCTCTTCTGCACATATAGATATAGTTTATATATAATAATATTTAAACTACAACAGCCACCACCACAACATAAAAATAAAAAATTAAATTAATTTTTTAAAAAAATATTCAGATAACTGTATACCACCATAATCACCATCACCACACTAAGACAACACTACCAACATAACCAGAAACCACCACCACCACCACCACCGAAAAAAAAAATAAAAAAATAAAATAAAAAATTGAAGCACCTGACAACTTAAATGCCATTATAACCCCCACAACCACACCACAATAACACCCAAACCACACCACAACAAACACCACTAGAGTAGAAAAAAAAAAAAAATTTAAAAACAACGATGGTCAGCCTAGACCCACCATAACAGGAAAAAGAAAAGTAATAATAATAATAAATAAATAGAGAAAGAGACTTAATGATAAAAATAGTTTTATCAATTAACATGATTGATATTTTATAAATTAATTAAAAAAATTTTTAAATAAATTAATTAAATTAAATAATTAAGAACAAATATGATATTTAAAAGAAGAAGGGATGCGTTTGTTAAAGAAATAGTTAATCCACAATTTTAGTGACATTGATCAAAACTTCAAAAAAATATCAATGCAACATACCCAAAAAAATATATATATATTAATTTTAGTGCGAAATTGTAGCATGGCCAAACGTCCCGTCCGCCAAAATATAGATAATAGGTGGTCCAGCTCGAGGGCCCCACTATGCATCAATTTTTGAAATACAAGTCCAGAATAGGACGACGTTGGAGGTTGGGTCCGATACTGTATGATATAGTCAATGTTTTTATGGACCTGTAACTTGGGTGCACTTTTCTTGAATTGCAATATATATATATTTTTTTCGGAAAGTACTGATTTGCAAGGTCTTGGTGACACCTTTCATGTACCTTCCTAAAAGTGATAATGACATTCTTAGTGGAGGTCCCAACAACGCCTAAGCAATCATATTTTGTTTTTAATCTATTATTGAGTAGTAATTTAGTAAGCTATCACTAGTAAATTTCACATTAATAATAAACTAGATTTGTTATCTGTACTTGAAAACTTTAATAAATAAACTAGTTTGTTTCTACCAGATCCTACATGCTCTAAGGTAACCTAAACCACATTAAATCAACCGACCTCAGCATAATTTCATCCCACCAAATGTGTTATTACATAACTCAAAAACATATTATTGTCTCCCGAGTCCCAACTTCTTAAGTGTTATTCTCTACCTACCACCAATGATGCATATAGAATAAGAGAATAGGCATGAATCAAACTTGAGACCTCTAGATCATTTCAAGAATATCTTATATCTAATTGATTCATGTTTGTATGTTAGGAAAATTTCAATAACTGAGGAAATCAAAGTTGAAATATTGAAGATATAATTTTAGGATAATTATACTTACCTCCTTACTTAAATAACAGAGATATCTTATATGATTTGAAATTCATGTCGGTGTTTGCTTTGACTGAAAGGTGTTTAAATTACTATTATAACTATTGTACTTTTATAAGAACAAAAATATTGTAAAGGTAATATACTGTTTGTCTGAACAATTTGAAAGCTTTTAACAACTCCTGTTCAACTTTTGTCTGTCATTCACGCTTGACAACAAACCTAAATTTTTTAGCAACCTTTCACAACGGTCTTGCCGTGCAAGCTCAATTTCATATAGAAGATGATTTAATGACTGAGGCTTTGCCAATGGAGGTAGATTACCTAGTGTATGGATCTACTATTGTTGCAAAACAAGTTCCGTGTGATGGTTAGTGCCGTAAATTCTTCCACCTTTAGATGATAAATTGTGAAAATTCTTTGTTTTATGTCCGAATTCTTTGTTTTTAAGGTGTGTGTGTGTATATATATATATATGATATTATGATCGAATACATACGTGGTGTGGGGTTTAATTGTAATTAACTAATTAATTAGCCTATAAATGAAGCTAGCGTCCTAGATCTCTCACGATCTGATTGTGCATTCCCTTCACTGCATAATGTCCTTAAATAATAACACAATCAATTACATCAGGCACCTTGTAGAGCTTGTTGAGAAACTCATTAATACCGATATTAATTTTCTTAGTATAACAAAATGGATTAAAAGTAGGCAAAGGTGAAATGTGAGGGTACAAATTGCTCACTTTTATATATGATAAACTCGACCTCAACTTTTGGAGTGAAAAGAAGAAAAAAAATATTTAACGTCAAAATAAAAGGAGCCAAAAATTAAAATAAAAAAAACAAAAACAAAAAACGATCATCCTTGTTTAGAGACGGGGTCAAATGAGGATGAAGGAATTCCTGGGAGAGGGGCAATTAAGCTTTAACTCTCAATTTTGAGCAATGCCAATGTGACACCTTCCACTAACCGACATCTATTGCATCAGTGCACGCGTGTTGACAAACAGTACAACCTTTTTTACTTTCTCTAACTACATTTAAATTTTACTTCCTTCCTTTAACTATATTTAAATCTCACTTGGTCTCTCTTTTTAGCTCCAAAGAATCTATGCCTTTTAACAAAATGAACATACACATATTTCTACGCTCTCCGCTCAACAAACATAACAACTCATCATTTGTTAACCTTTCAAAAAAACAAAAATACATAAAAAAGGAGAAAAATAAAAAAACTTCATTTGTTAGAACTGTTGTGTGTGTATATATATCCTTAATACCCAAAATCTCGAGTACAACTCACTCTCGCTCTCTTTCTCTCTCTCTCTCTCTCTATATATATATATGTATGTATATTTTAATCTAAAGGTTTCATCACTCCTCTATTTTCACATCTAATAACTCCATATCAATTGTGATTGTTAGAATCAAATGGGTAATTGCCATGCTCTTTACAAATCCAGTAAACAATCTTGCATCAAAATCAAAACAGCCAAGCACCAGAAAGTGTTGAGGGTTGTGAAGTTTGATGGGAAGATGCTAGAGTTCACAGCACCTGTTCTTGTTAAGAATCTCTTGGTAGATTATCAGGGTCGCAAAATGGGTCACAATCCATCAACTCACCTGTATCTGCTCATTTTTTAATAGTTTTGGGTGAATCATATTTAAGATGGATCAAAAATGAGTTGGGTAATTTTTAACCACTTAATTTGAGGGTCAAGATCATATATTTTATCCATAACATAATAGACACACAACACACATCTATTCTATATTGCACTCAACTCATTTCTCTCTCTCTCTAAAAGTTTTTTTTTTTTCAAATTACATTTTCCTTTTCCAAGAAAATTTTATTTTTTAAGCATCAATATTTTGGACGGGTTTCAAAGGTCATTTTTTTTTTTTTTTTAACAAATATGCAAATTATATTTTCTTTTTTCACGTTTATAAACATCAAAATTTTTAACAAAATTTTATTTTTTAAACATCAATATGGGTCTTGACAGGTTGACTCTATATATTTTTTAAATATGATTTTTAAAAAATAATTAAAAATAAAAAAATTTAATTAATGAGTCCACTTGTTATAACGGGTTGACCCTATATAATTTTTAACCCGTTCATTTTCAACCCATTCTGAACATATTGAATATGGGTCATGACGCATATTTGACCTGCCCATTTTCAATCCCGCTCAACTTACCCATTTGCCATCCTTAATTCAGGCTCAGGTGTTGGTGTGTCCAAGGAAGCTTCTCACCATCGTCCTCCTAACTATGAATTGAAGCTGGGGAGAAGTTACTATCTTCTTCCTATAACAAGTTCTGTTTCTAATTCTAGTCCTGTTAGTGTCTCACCCATAGAAACAGCTTGAGGAGTTGTTGTAGAAGCAAATATCAGCCCGGGATGTTCTCTCAGCGTTTGAGAAAGAAACATGTCCAAATTATTCTTCGTCATGCTGGAAACCAAAGCTTGAATCCATTCATGAAGGAAGCCAGTGATTTTCCACACCGGCTTTGGCTCTACCAACTTAGCTACTGAATAATGTCCGTTTTTTTTATATTTAGGTAACCATGAAGTTTGTGAAACACGCACTTGGGACCGGCACACATTGTTTTGTGTAGGACTATACAGCTTTAGGGGAGATGATTTTCTGAACTTTCTGCTGTTTATAGGTGCAGGCAGTCATATGAAAGTTATAGTTGATGGATTTTGTATCACAATTATGCTCTGTTTCCCTTCTTCAGGTTTAGCTACTTATTTTTTATTTTATTTTTTTTCATTGACAAGACACGCGCACACACGCCCATTCTTATTTGTATAGAAACTTGAAACTTTTAACTTTTCACTTTATCCATTTCTATGGAAACTTAATCCTTAACTTTTTACTTTTACTTTAATGAAAATTTAAAGCATTAACTATTATTACTTGTATAGAAATTTGGAACTTTAACTTTTCACTTTACCCATTTGTATGAAAATTTGAACCTTTAACTTTTTATTTTTACTTTAATAAAAATTTGAGCCATTAACTTTTTACATTAAAAAAGTAAAGAAGTATCATTAAGTTAATAAAGGGGCAAACCGCAAAACAACAGGTTTCCACCAAGCTTTATTTGTAGGGACAAACCGCAAAACAACAGGTTTCTTTGTAGATATACAATGCCTACGGTAACAAATATGAGCAAACAGAGTCATAGACCAAACCTTTTTGCCTTCAACCATCAAAGTAAGTACCATATCTATGAGTCCTCTACACTCTCAGTTTCAGATGGTAAATCAAGATTTGTCTGAAATACTCATTGTAAAATAGCTTTCAAGTTTCAGTTCCTCAAATAAATAATAATAATAAAAAAGATTTGTCTGAAATACTCATTGTAAAATAGCTTTCAAGTTTCAGCTCCTCAAATAAATTAAAAAAATATATATATAGCAACCCTTCTACTAAAAAATCTAGTAAATATTACTAGTATGAAAATGAATTCTTTTTTGACATGAAGACAAGACCCCATGAAGACAAGACCCTTCTAACACCAAGGACAATTTGGAAAAATGATTGCAGATGTCTATGATTTATGATGTTTTTAGACTAGCCAGGAAAATACTTTGCATCCACTTTCCTCATTTCAGTTATCTTCAAACTAAACCTTCTGGTGTGAAGTCCAGTTTTACTATTTCATTCAACCCTTAATACTGATTTTTGTACCAATCAGTCCACTGGTGCAACCAAACTAAAAAGCATTATGTCTATATATAGAGATACAAGATTTAACCAACTCACAACTTAACAACAAGTCTAGTAAAAAACACTCCAAAAGTTACTACACAAACTTGAAAAACCAGAAGAGACATGGTATGAACTACTTAATCTCAACATCAACCACCTTGCGCTCCACTTGAGTCTTAGGAATGGAGATGAAAAGCACTCCATTCTTCAACTCCGCTTTGATCTTATCCCTGTCTGCATTTTTAGGAAGCTCAAGACGAGTGTAGTAGGAAGTGAAATTCCTGCTCGACCATGAATTATCTCCACCTTCCTCCTTTTTGTGCTCTCCCTTTATAACGAGCTCATCATCTTCCACATAGACATTAACATCTTCTTTGGAGAGTCCCGGCATGTCGAACCGCATCTTGATTTCGTTTTCCTCCTGTTCAATGTCCCAAGGGGCACGCACCTCCCCTACTGACTTGAATGTCACCACATCCTCAAATATTCTGTCCATTGTATCCAGCATCTGACGCATTGTTCTCATTGGGGAGAATGGGTCCATTAAACCTGTAATCAGAACCTCATGTTTCATTGATCAAGGTAAGACTTGAGAGTTTTTAGTTCTAATTTCACAATGAAATTAAAACTAAAAATTTTCAACACATCTTCAAATTCCGTAGAAAGCTTGAATCAGAAAAGAGACTCAATTTGGGCTCATCAAACAAATTAGACTTGAATTGCTTCTACACTTGCCTTGAAATAGAAAATAAACTCAATTTGGGTTCTCATCAGACAAATTAAGATTTGAGTTGCAGTTGGACTTGACTTGATCTATTACCTTGTCCAACTTGGCCAAATTGCATCCCTACAGCTCATAATGAACATTAAATTCGAGAATACTCCGGGTATTGTACTCCGGATCTCTCAGGGTACCTAATCCAACGACTGAGAGACCTTCGAGGAAGGGTACCTAGAATACTCATCTCTCAGTTGTTGAATATGATACCATGTAGTAGTAAAATTCACCTCATGAACGATTCAATGACTGGGCGAAGGGTACCCCAAGTATGATATTGTTGAAATTCTTGATAAGAACACGAGGGGTTGAAAAAGTAAACTTGAGTACCACAAGTGAAAAAAAAAAAAAAAAAAGCCCTCAACCAGGCCCAATTGAACCTGCTATCTCGACTTATAGATTGGTTCAAATTGGACTTGGCCAGCTCAATACTCTGCTGCCCAAGCCCAACCCAAATGAAAATAACTTTATAACTGACAAACATTTCACACAAAGTCAGAATTTGTATTCTCTAGCCATACTGAGTCTGCAACAGTAAAATAAATTCATCAAAGCAGTAAGAAAAGGTAGAGCACTTACCAAAAGGTGAACCATCTGCAGCTAGTCGCGGGAGCCTTCTCTCGACATCAGTCCCTTGGTGGCTGCCCTGTTTGACGGGAACGTCCACCGCCGAAGTATCTTTGTTATCTCCGGTGGCCTGAGCTCTCACAACGGACAGCTTCGAAGGCCTTCTCACATTGCATGCCGAAGGAAAGAAGACAGAGCACGGCCCAACTCCTTCAATGGAGTTACTGCTGGTTTTCTTGTTAAAAAGCAGGGGTGAAGAAGTACATGCTAATGTTTTTGAAGCCATTTCTGATAAAAATGAGAAACCAGAGAGACTTTCAAAGATTACAAGTTGTGTAGTGTAGATATAATGCTTTGGCTGAGGACTTTAAGATGGTTTTGAAGAGGTATGGATGTGTGTGTGTGTGTGTGTGCGTGTGTATATATAGACAGAGGATGGAAGTGTGTAGAGGAGTCGTGAATGTTTGAGGAAGAGTCTCGAGTGGGGCCCATGTTCAATTGGCCACCTAAACATATTTCAATTGGTACTCTCATTCCAGGTGTCTCGTGCATTCGGGAAATCTCGATGCATCATCATCTTATCTGGAGCTAGTATGACAAATTAGGGTATTTTTGTAATTTAATTTAAATTTTTAATTAGGTAAATTACACTGATATTCTGATATCTATTGCGATTTGTCCAAATCTGACTGGAGCATTTAAGATTTGTTATAATGGACCTTTCCTAAATCATTATTAAGATTCTTTGTGAAAATGATTAAGTAACCCTCGTCATTTGTGAAAAGACAGTAATAACCTTAGACTTTGACTAAAATGACAAAATACAATTTATGTATTGACCAAAATTCCCTAAATCTTTATATTGTTGTCTCTCTTTTTAAAATTACTCTCTGAAAGTCCGGGACTCAAATCAGTAAAAACATTAGGGCCTTTCCCTCTCTTAATTTGATTATTTTTTTGGACAATAACACTCCATTTACTAAATAGTATCCAAACATGGCCTTAAGTGATAGAAAATGTCTAGGTTACCCCTAAACAAAATATTATATTTTAGGGTAAAGTGCAAATAACTCCCCTGAACTTTACTCTCTCTCCTTAAAAACCCCCCCTGAACTATTTTTTTTACAATTAACCTCCTGAACTATCAATTTTTTTGCAAAAAATGCCCACCGGCGAAGTTTCGGCTATTTCTCACCGTTAAATGGGGGTGTGTTATTCACGCGCGATTACAGAAAATAAAAAATGACAAAACAACCCTTGCATAGCCGCTGGCAGTCGCTGCTGTACAGCGTAGTCTTCCCAAGCACATTCATATATCTACTCATCGGTCAGAACAATACCCTTGGCTTCTCTCTCCATTCCCAAATTGACGGCGGTGGTGGGTGGGTCGCTGCAGTATAGTGTCACCATCTCGAGCACATCCAAAGTGAATAGACGGCGGCGGTGGTGGGTAGGTCGCTGTATGTATATAGTAATATAGAGAAAGGGGTAAAGACTCGAGAGAGAAAGGAGTAGGACGGCGAACAAAGTGTTCGACTGCCGGACCAGAACTCACTGCTAGGTCAAACCAAGCTTACCGGAAAAAGATGAACAGAGCTCGTCGTTTGTTCACCAGAGTCGCACGTATGTCTTGGAGCTTACTGGATGGTCACCGTGACTGGGTCTCAGTCTCATTGTTCTGGGTTTCGTTGAAATTGTACTCTTGCCAGATTGAACTTTGCAATTTTTAGCCAACAACAAATAGCAATGAAGTTTCACCTCTGCAACTTCCGGCGAACAAAACCATACCAAACCAAACCCACAAGTTGTTTCGCTGACGACGTAGCAAACTCCAATGAATTGAATCGCCCTGCGAAATTGGAGTTTCCAAACTCAGATGTACGGAGTTCCCATGTCTTCGTTCCGATACCCCAAATCCTTGTTTACCAACAAACCGACCCGCAAAAAAGGAAAATATATCCAAAATTTTCTCGAGAAAATCCCAACTTTCTCTATCCAGATTTCGCAATTTGACCCTCTCTGCCGACCGTGCCTACCACCGCTTCACTGCCGTCCTTTCCCCACCGCCGTCCTTCTGCTTCAACTCTCTGCTCAGTCAGCCGAACCTTCACCGGCCGACCTCTTCACAGCCGACCACTCCATCGCGGCTGAGTCATCGAGCCGGCACCACTTTGATGACGGAGCACTGAGCCGGCACCGCCACATTTCTCACCATATAGACCAGGCAAAACCTTTTTGGTCAACAAACGTCATCAACGATGGGAAAAATAGAGCGTAGAGAGAGAAAGCCTTGCATATAAGGCCGTGTTTGGCGGTGACAAGGATGAGGTGATAAGGCAATGATGTGTTGTCACAATTCTATTGGATGATTAAGATTTGAGTTAAGACCATACCAATACGACGTAGTTTCACTTAAGGGTAATATTGTAATCTTCTTTTTCCGGTGCCGGAACCTCACCTGATGTCCTTAACTACAACTTTATCATAGTTCAGGGGGACAATTGTTAATTCAGGGGGGTTTTGTGCAATTGGCTGAAAGTTCAGGGGGGTTATTTGCACTTTACCCTATTTTTTATTCCAAAATATCACCTCACTTAAAATGACCTAAATACCCTCAGTGATTATACACCACCCATTTTGGCGCCACCTACCCTCACTTACCTTATTACTCCTAAATGTTTTACTTCTAAATGTTTTATAAAAATTAAAAACAAATAGGTTTAATGTTAAAAGTTTTTCTTTAGCTTCTTGTTTTGATGAGGGACATGATAGTGGTCCAGTTCACTTAGACAATGGTGAAGAGTATGAAGATGATGAGGGAGGTGATATGGTCAGTGATGATGAAGTGAAAACTGATTTCAGTTTTTCAGATAGTGATGATGAACAGTTGTTTGGTCAGCTTCAGGGACATGCAATTGATGATGGGGATAATCTCCAATTAGAAATGGAAAATCCTTATTACAATTGTGGGTAATTATCTGACTACAGTGACAGTGTTGCCTTTAGTCCAGGAAGTGGTGATGAGATTAAGTTACCAAGGAATAGTGTTCACAGACACATTTAGGGTAAAGTGTTCAAGTATGGTGACATGGGTGAAATAAAAATTGTGAAGGATCATTTGTTTGATGATATCAAACATTTTAGGACCATGTTGAAGAAGCATTGTGTTCAAAAGGGTTTTAAGCAGGTGATGGGGAAAAATGAGAGGAAAATAGTCACTAGTCATTGTGGGAATCCAGGGTGTCAATGGGGAATTCGTGCAAGCCTACTGCCAGATAAGGTAACATTTAAAGTAAAGCGTGTAGGATCAGAACACACTTGCATTATAACCACCAAGAACCCAATAGTGACATCCACTTTCATTGTAGACAAACTTGCCAATAAATTCAGGAATCAACCTAACATTGATTTAGAGATTTTGGAAAGAGATGTTAGAGACACATTTAAGGTGGAAGTGACTAAGGTATGTTTGAGGAGAGCTAGAAAGAAAGCCTTAGAACAGAGTGAAGGAACCCACATAGCTTCATACAAGAAGTTGTGGCAATATGCAACTGAGGTTCAAAAAACTCAGGGAGTTTAATGTTTATATAACATTTAGAAGATGACTTAACAAGGTTAACAAGGTTTAAGAGGTTATTTTTATCATTTGTGGCTGTGTACAATGGGTTTATAGATGAATGCAGGCCATTTATTGGTCTGGATGGTTATTTTCTGAAAGGTCCCTTTGGTAGTATCTTAATTTGTGCAGTGGGGCTTGATGGAAATAATGGGTTATACCCATTTGCAGTTGCAGTGGTAGATTCTGAAAGAGAAAAAAGTTGGAAATGGTTTTTGGAACACCTACACAAAATCATAGGTGACACAGCTGGGGATTTGTCTTGGGTTATTATAACTCATGGCCAAAAGGGTATATTACCAGCTGTGGATGAAGTCTATCCTCATGCTTCCAAAAGAAGGTGTTGCAGGTATATTTATGCCAATTTTAGGGCAATATATTATGGGGTTAGGTATAGAAAACTATTTTGGGCAGTAGCAAGGGCTTACAATGAGTTAGACTTTAAGAAAACCATGAGATAGCTACAAACAAGTTCTGAAGGAGTATGGCAGTGGTTGATGGATCAGCCACTTGAAACATGGGCAAGGCACAAGCTTGATACGAGGACCAAATGTGATTTTGCCACAAATAATATAATGCAGTTGAGTCATTCAACTTATGGCTTAAGAAGGTTAGGGGCAAACCTGTAACTGTAATGTTTGTAATACCCCTAGTTTTCAAAGGGATATAAAAGGGATTTAAATTATTTATTTTATTGTATTTTAGGTGCTTATGTGGCTATGTGGTTACGTGGCTTGATGGTATGTGTTTAATTGTTTGATTATTTGGTTAATTGTTAATTGTTTAATTGTTTAATTGTTAATTGTTTAATTGTTTGATTATTTGAGTATTATTATTATTAATTATTTATTTTAATGTTAATATTAGTAATATTACGTTATATATATATATATATATATATATATATATATATATATTTGGTGATCACGTATAGGACTTTATATGTGTGTGTAATTATATTTTACTTTGCTTTTCTTTTCTTTTCTTTTAGGTTTAGCCGACTTAGTATCGGGTTGGGATTAGGGTTGGTATAAAGCAATATATTTATATAGTGTTGTCTGCCTTAGGGTTCATAAAACCCTATTCACGCCACCTTATAGACGAGAGGGATAGGTTTTATTCTAACTCCTTCCCTTAGACCTGTGTTCTGTGCATGCCTATGTAGTCTCCAGGACTTAATCAGACGTTAAAACGGATGTTTTATGCATGTTAATTCTGACTGTAAACTATTTCATGTATTGATTAATTGAAATTGTTTTATTGGATAAATTGGTTCAGATTAAGTTTTAAATTCTTATTAGCAATGCGTACTGGTTTTCTATGAGTTTCTGGAACCTTTGGGACATAGATTGAACCCTAGGAATCATAATAAAATAATACAGAGGGTTCTAAAGATCGCCGAAGGTGAAGAAGATGAACGGGTTTAAGGATACGGCTCTCAAGGAGAGAAAGCAGGCTCTCTAATGGAGGGAGCCGGCTCCCTCATGGACAGAGCCGGCTCCCACTTGGAGGGAGCCGGATCCCAACACTACAGAGCCGGCTCCCACTTGGGGGGAGTCGGCTCCCAAGAGGGCAGAGCTTGCTCTTGAAGTTTGGGAGCTTGCTCTCGCGCTGGAACTTGCAAAAATTGATTTTTTTAAAGTTCTGTTTGGCTGTTTAGAGTATTTCTAAGTTGTTTAAGATGCTGTGAATGATTTAAATAACTGTAATGGACATGTAAAAATACTCGGAAGCATGTTTTATAACAATATGCTAAAGAATGAAATAACATGAGTTTCAACAGTAAACTTGCATGTTGAGTATGAAATAAAGGATTTAATTGCTTACTAGTATTCTAGTAATATTTCTATGTATGGTTAAACAATATTAATCATGTTTAAGCATTGTAATAAGCATAATTGACATCTGAAAATGTAGTATGCTTATATGGGATTAATTGATGTTTTATCTGTTCTATACTTCATCAATTAATGGATTTATGGATTGTTATGAAATTACTTTTGAGTATTTCAGTATAATGTGCTCAGTTTATATTTTTGATTATCATTACATCAGGCTCTGGATTCTAATTGATGATTAAATTTATCATTTATTGCATCAATTATTTGATTTGGGAATTATATGCACCGGTATGAGACGGTGGCATATTAGGGATGGATTAGTTCAAAATACTAAGTCCTACCTATTCTAAAATAAGAAATGGATTAACTATAAAAGTTAAGTCCTACTTATATATATTCATGTCATGTTAACTAAAACAGTTGAATAACATATTGGATGTTTGTTTTCATGTCCTGTATTAAGAAAGATATCATATATATATGATTATGGTATTGTGATATGAGCTTGAGTCTCAGGATCATGGTTAGGGTGCGTATATCGCCTAGGAGGATAACTGGACATAGTTGATGTTCCCTGGTAGGTCTAGGTATACATGCCCATGTGATGTACGATTTGCATTTTACCTTCTATTCAGGCTGAGACAGAACTATTGGGCTAGCGAGCGTTCTATAGTGTGTATATATATATACATATATGGACTATTTAGCTATTGTTGAGTTATCTAGGATGTATCTGCGTATTGGGTCTCTACTTAGACTCTAGTAGAGTAGAACTTGTTTGTGGGCCTGACCCACCATCATTTTTCTGGTATTCGTCAGGCGTATGGATTGTTCGTGTTCAGCAGGGATCGTCTACTTCATTCTTCCGGACTATGTTATTTAGGAGTTTCTGTATCTTTCAGTTTTCTAATGTCGACAGTTTTTGCTGTCTTTTGGTTAGTTTGGTTTTCCAGGGGTCCACATAGTATGGATTCCCGAGTTGTGTAAGTTGGAAGATTATTTGTATCAGAACAGTTTATTAATGAAAATTTTATTCTGAGGTTTTATTAATGGATTATCGTTTTAGTTTCTTTCAGTCGTTTATTTATTCCTGTTATCTATTTTGTACTCTGTGTTCGTTTATTGTCATTTGTTTTGATATCCTCGGGTATTTGGGCGTGGGCCTAACCAACTTGTATCCAGAAATCCGTAGGTATCACAGTTGGTATCAGAGCACTCCAGATTCAAATTTCCTTAGAAGTGTCTTTCGTTATAGGGCTTCCGCGTTGCTTCTCTTAAAACTTAGAGCCCGTATTAGGATTCGTTATACTCTATTTACGATTCTTTAGAAGGAGCTAATGTCAATTATATTCCATAGTTATGGATTGGTTGACATTAGAAGGAGGATGGGGTCCAAGGCGAAAGTAATAAAGACCCAAAGGAGTAAAGAAGTACGCTATCGAGTTCTTTGCCAGAAGTAGAACTTGGGATCGAAGGTTTATTTTCGGGGTTGGCATTACTTAGAAAGTATAAGCCAAGGAAGTATTAAGGTGTACGTGTTAGGTCGCCACATATCGAGACCAACACGACTTCAGTTAATCTAAAAAAGGAGACAAGCAAGGAGTAAGAGTCCGAAGAGGATCCTAATAGAGTAGATTTCAACGTATTCAGTAAAGAGGGTACCAAATCGTGAAGATAATTGATCGCTCGAGGGTGATCTTATTTGCTGGTAGTATAATGAATAATACTAGTAGAGTTGGTGTGGATCAATCTACATATAGTTAAACTTTCTTATCCTCTCTAAAAAGAGATATACAAGAAGTACTCTTCAGAAGTTTGGGGATTATGTTGTGACTGTCTAAGTTACTTTATAAAGCCACGTTAGACGGTTTGCATTCCGTGTATAAGGAGGTTGAGGGATTAAGCCCTTGGTATATCCTTAGGCAAACGAATGTTATTTTTCAGCTATGTTTAAAGTAGGCTGTTTCGAGGTTGGATGAGTACCTAAGAAACTATAAAAGGAAATTTACTATAAAAGGAAATTTTGTGCAACAATTTTTTTTTTTTTTTTTTTTTTTTTTTTTTTTTTTTTATGCAAGTTGATTTCAGAGGAGGTTTTCTTTTCTTGAAAGAACGATGTTTTAAGGAGGATTATATTTTTTTTTTATTGTGTGTATCTTACGTATTTTATTTTTGTTAATTATTTAGGATTTGGAATGTGGTTTAGTTGGGGACACAAGTATGTGATCAGTCAACTACTATTCTTTTTAATAAGATGGAGTAAAAGCGCTATATTACGCTAAGATTGTGAGCATGTGGTAATGGGATTTGGGTAGATATACATAAATCTAGCCAATTAATTGGATCTGGACATGTGTCATTATAGTATGTTTTCAGGATGGAATAATTAGACCATCAGTACGAGTCAAATAATCTAGAACGATTAATTTGACATACTTTACACTAGGTATGGATTTGTGACGGCCCTAGTTTTTAGGCTAGCGCGTCCTATGATAAACCAAACGTATATTCGATAGCGGATCCAGATACGGAAACAAGAAACAAGACAATGGTCTCCCAAGGCACAACACACCTCTAAGACACTTTGATGACCTTCCATGACGTTATAGAACTCAATGAGAACTGACGCGGAAATAAAAGATCGAAAAAATAACAATTAAGCCCCCAGGGGCAAAATAGTCATTTTACATAAAAATGACGTCCCTAGAATGTATATCATTCTTGAGACACATCCGTGACTTTATCACGGGACTTAAAAGAAATCAGTGGAAGCGGAAAGTAAGAAAAATCGTATAAAAATAGCCCCAAGGACAAAATAGTCATTTCTGAAAATATGGATTTGGGTGCTACCGCTAGAAAGAAAATGAAAAACTAATCAAGATGGATTCAAGAATCGCATGATTCGGAGTTCGGACGAAGGAGAAACGGCATGACGAAGAAAAACGAGCACTTAAGGCTAAAAAGGTAAACTGGTAATTATCCAGGAAGATCTGTGTGCAACCGAGCACACTGTTGGAAAGACAGCAAAAAATTAGTCAAGTTAAAAAAAAATTTTCACTCAATTTGGAGTGTGGACGAAGGAAAATGAGCGAAAATAAAAATCGACGCTACGACGTCGAGACGGGGCACCACGAGCACCCCACGAGCATCCTGATAAGCACCATGACATGCTAGGGAAAAAAAAAAAAAAAGAAAAAAAAAAAAGAAAGAAAGAAAAGGATTCAGCCAGAACAGAGTGCTAAAACGAGGTCCAAAACAAATTTTTTTGGAAAAACTTGAAGAAGAAACCCTCCTTAAAATCGAGTTTTCTACCCGATTGCGTAAGAGGAAATGAAAAAAACATACAGCAAAATCCCCAAAATGCCCCTAGATCAGAAGAGGTCAAGAGGGTCCAAAAAGATGTTATAGTAACTGTCCACATCTGAGATCAAAAACGGGCTATTAAACGAATTTTTCTGCAAAAAATCACAGAAGAAACCCCTCCCAAAATCAAATTTTCTACTCGGCA